ACCCTTTTCCTGGATAGATAGTGACTTGTGCTTATGCCTGGAAGCACTAGCACCACTTTCTCTGCGTCATGGTCTCTTTGAAGACATATTGAAGGGATAAATGTCGTATAGTAGCTTCTCAAATTTCGCGAGTTTTTAATTCTTAACGTATTTTATTGGAACACACACAAAAATAAATAAATAAAAATTTTGACGGCGGAAACTTGAATTTCGACGGGTTTGAACGGCCCGCCAACTTGCAGATGACGTGCATAATCATGTAAACAGCGTCATTTCTCTTATGTACAAAAGATTCATTATTGTTTATTACTGAATGTCCTTTTTATTGAATTAATGTTTATGTGTGCAAAATGAGCAATAAAATTCATTAATAATACGTAGAATATTAAAACACACGCGGAAATGACACAGCACTGTTTTCGTTGATTACAAAACCAGTGACTGACTGGTTCTACATATAAAACTGAAGAAAATAAGACCTTAGTTGTAGCTGTAGTAAAATTAATATGGTTGTTTTAAGTAATGTTATTTAATGTTAATAAATGGAACAATAGAAGTAGCTAACGATAATGGTAACGAAAAAAGAGAGATCGCATATGTAAGTGTGCATGCGCACACGTGAAAATATATCGTCATTACTTTACATAAGAACATGAAAGCAACACTTATTTACTGTTCATATATATTTTAATTAATTATTTAATGTTTCTGAATTTGTTTTTATTGAATTAATGTACGTGTGTGCAAAATTAACAATACAATTTATTAATAATACATGGAATATTAGAGGAGACGAGACGGCTGCCGGCATTGTTTATGTTAAAGCTTATGAAACCAGTGACTGATTGGTTCTACATATAAAACTGAAGAAAATAAGACCCTGATTGTAGCTGTAGTAAAATTAATGTAAAAAATGAATATGGTTGCTTGAAGTACCTGTAATGTTATTTAATGTTAATAAATGGAACAATATAAGTAGCTAACCATTAATGGTAAAAAAAAAAGTGAGACTGCTCGTATGTAAGTGCGCACCTGTGAAAATATATCGTCATTACTCTACATAAGAATATGAAAGCAACACTTATTTACTGCTCATATATATTGAAGGGTTAAATGTTGTACTCTGTATAGACAAGCAGAGAGAGGGAGAGCAGCCGAACTGCCGGATGTAAACAAACCTTAATTTCCCGCGGCTTTTTTTTTTTTTTAAGGGGATTAGCCCACCCGGGCATAGGTCACTGACCCACATTGGGGCCTGAGGGGCAAAAATTTAATACTCCTGTAATAATAATAATAATTCAGATAAGGAAAAAAAAAAGCTGCCTATCTACCTATTGGACAAACTAAAATCGTTCCGGACCACAGAATGCCGGACTAGAGAGGTACAACCTGTACTACTAAACCCCCCATCTTCTCCATGCGGGGTTAGTATGCCTATCTCCGTTCGCTGATACATTATAGGTTATCCTACTCATTTGGGTGGTATGCCAGAGGTGTATTTGTCTACAGACACTAGCGTAAATACGTTTATCTGGTAAAGACAAAACAGGTAAGAAGTTAAATAAATTATCTTTCATGTGCTCACTTTATTGACACACTATTTCTGCATCAAGTTTAGTCTCGTCCAATTGGCATCGATGACATTTTCACGTCATTCAAAAGAAACATTTTACACAAAGTTGAGTAATTAAGATTGATGCATGAAATTTGGACGAGTCTTTCCTCGAACCATTCTTTCTCTCATGATACCAACACTAATTAGATACAGTAGGATCTCATGTTTCGCGACTAATTGGTACCGGTTTTAGCATTGCAAAAGTTAAAATTGCAAAACGAGTGACATTGAAATTCATATAAATAAGCCTAATCAGTTCTGCGGTGTCACCCAAACCCCCCTATAATGACCAACAACCCACCAAGAAAATGACCTTACACTAATTCATACATATTATATTGTACATGTTGTTGATAGCAATATTTTTATTGTACACCCATACTGTAGAATAACTTACCTTGATGGAATCAGTGAAATGCTTGACGGGGCTGGTTGATGGGTTCCGAGGCAGGGAGGGCTGGTTACTGCTTCCTCCCTGCTCCTTCCTCTGCATCTCTTCTAACCTCAGCATCAAATCCCTCAAAGTCTTGAAGCAGCTCTTCCACCAGTAAGTCACCCAACAATTCAATATCATCATCGGTGGTGCCATCATCATCATTAATCTCCTAAAGCGATGTTTGCCAAGGCAATAACAGGCTGGGCCTTGCACAGGTACTGAGTAATAAGGGCCTGCTGACGAGCATTTACACGGGACAAGTACAAGGCCTTGTATTCCTCCATACCCTTATCAAGGGCAGAGCACATAAGGTTCCGAGGATGTGGCCTGGTAATGTATTCTAGCTGTTCACTGAGGCGTGTGATGTTTTTGAGCACTTCAGTCAGCTGGTGTGTTGTAGGTTCACCAGGCTTAATATCATCCTCTTGTGTTGGTTGCTGTTCTTCCTGTTCTTCACCCTCCTCCAACATTTCTTCAATTGAAGGTTGCTGCTGATGTTGGCCAACGATTTCTTACAAATTTTCAACCTGAACGTCTAAAAATCCCGGTGCTGGGAGTGAGCTCTCTGCCTCCACTGTGTCCATTAGGGTTGCCGCCATGGACTGCCTCTCCCCGCTTGCCTCGGTCTGCTCTGGCCCACTTATCTTGGAGTTAGTGAACAAAGACTTCCATGCG